CAAATATACTCTTCCGATCTCCTCGACTCTGCCTTTTGATTTCTCTGGGTGGGAACGAAATACATTAGAAGGTGTTACTGGTAGAAGCGTTGTCAAACACTGAATACCTGTGACATCATCAGGGTTTTGACACAAAAACTGCAAAGCTCGAGCAATTCGTTCCGAAATGTTCATTTATACCAAAGTTTGCACAAAACTTGGGGAACGAAAAGGTCCTGACCAAACAGAAAATGAATCTAGTGAGTAATGATCGATAATATACTGATATTATACAGATAAGTTTGATGTTGTTCTGGTTTGTTGTCCGAACTAAAGCGTCTATGTTGTTTTAACACTAACCACGAACAACTCCGAATTTAATCCAATGAATAAGACGTATAATTTCTACCGGTAATAAAGATGATGCGGAAAGGAAATGCTTAAAGAACGTAAAATGAGTGTTCAGATCCACGTATTTTTGATCCTACAGCCATTAGCACACTTCCTCTCTACTTACAGTCCTTTTAAATGTCATGTCTTGTGACTATATTTATGATTGTTTGGTATCTGAACGGACTAATTACACAGAAGCAATTGCATCCCTTTAATGCTTGTTAAAGAACCATGTTCGGTTAGTTGTTTTGTTTGATCTAAACCGTTAATTTCGAATGTTAATCGATATTTCAATATGGCGATACATGTGGGAATCGACCAATAGACAAATTGAATGAATTAGTTGCAATTGGATTGTAATCAGATGGCATGGCTCGGCCTTGCAGGCGTGGTCACTCTAGGATGTTGTCTTACATCTTTTATTTTTATTAAATATATCGTTCTATCTCTAGCTTAAGTTTGTTCTCCATCATATATTGGTGACTGTTACGATGCGATGAGTTGGTGTAGACAATGATGTGTCTTCCACGTACGATCTTATAGATTAGACAGTTACATCATGACAAATCTACAATTTTAGGATTAAGTCTATTATTAAAGCAGTATTAATAACGAAGTAGACCATAATTCTACAGATTCGCGTTCAACATATAACACTTGGAGTAGGTCAATTATAGTGAACGCGGGAAGAATTGAGTGAAACGTTATAGATCGATCATGCAGGCGCGTTCACCATATGCTCCCGCTTTTTGTATGAAACATATCACTCTCTTCCTAGTTCAAATGAGTTCTTCAGAAATGCCATGCGTCATGTTGCTAATCGTCACGATAGATGAGTCAGCATAGAGAATGATGTGACTTCCACATAAGATCCTATAGATTACGTGGTTACATAGTGGCATATCTACAATTTTCGGATTAGGTCCATCATAGTATTGCAAGTACCGAACTAGAGCATGATAACACTGGGTCTTTCGTATTTTTTCCAGATATTATCACCACCACTCAACAAGGGAGAAAATCACCTTTTCAGAAGTGATGTCTTTGATGTGTACTGTTTCTGGCCATCGACTGAAACGGTTTACAGACGCTTAGATGTAAGGGTATCTGTTTGAATCTGGTAATGGTACTACCAAATCAAGATAAACATGGTAGAAAAGAGTTTCGGCAGTCTTGCGAGAGTCTAAGGGACCTTTGTTCTGTTTAGTCACCTTTGATTTTTGGCAGTTTATACTGGAGTGTGACCACTCCATCATGTTTTTATTCATTCCAGGTCAACAAAATATCTCTGAGATGAGACTGATGGTTGCTCGAACACGTAGATGAGAAAGTTTGTACGACGTTTTGAAGACGTCACGTCGATAATGTTTCCACACGATTGGACAATCCCTACGAGTAGACGTTACAAAGCAAAATTTTCATACCTGTTCCCATCTGTTTGATCTATAGAGGCTAATTTCCCTTATATCTGGCCCCAATAAATAATATCACGTTAACTGAGTATTTAAGGCAGGCTTAATCTCCCAGTAGAATTGTGGGTTTACTCGAGATTATTCAAAAGCCTGAACACCAGTTATAAAGATAGTTTATTGTTAAAGATTGGTAAAATCCGCAAGCGTACGGGAAGCAGGCACACAGCGAAGACGAGTAAGTATGTATGTGTATGGATGTTAAATATCCATATATATTTATGAGTGTTAATCAAGTGTGGATAAATTATTGGTTGTCTGTGTATTACAACCAATGGGAGAATAAATTAAAGATTGATGTGTAGACATGTGCTCAATCAGACTCACACAAAAATTTATATAGTAGATTAAATGTCTAAATTACAGTAAGCAGATAAATAATACAGTAGTTGAATGGGCTTACTATAGATCCGTAGTTTTCAGGGTTGTCAAATGTAACATCTGATGAGGATCAGTTTCTTCATTTTGAAACTCGGGGAGTTTAAGTTCAAACCCTTGGAGACGGTTCATGGAAGTTGTACGCAACGAGGCGTCTGCTGCTTTATTTTTTGCCACGGAAATATGTATATCTGTAGTAAACCTCGAAAAGTGTTCCGGTCATCGAGAATTACGAGTACGTGTATGAAGACGAGGTTAGAGAGAAGATAAGAGGTTTATTGCCGATAAACAGAGGGAATTCTGAACCTTCCAAAGAGTGTTGAAATTGCCGTAGGGCGTAATACATGGCCAAGTTTTCTTTCCAGAAAGTGCTCTACTTCGATTTAGTGTCTTTCAGCCTTCTCGACAGTAATGCCGAAGATTGCTAGTCGTTGTTTGTCCTTTGATGTAAGACTTCCACAACTGTCTAAATGCATATGCCCAGTTCGATAACAATGGATGCCTTGATGTCCTAGTGTGCGAGCAATGTTGCTTTTACGATAACTTCTTTACCTGTGGAGAACGTTCTTTATCGATTTAATCCAAGTTTATAAGTCTCGCATTTCCATGAAGTTGGTCTGTTAAGGGATTTATGAAAGACGCGAAATTCTGTATGGACAGTCTATAGAAACCTATCAAGCCGTTGAACGTGCGTAGTTGCTTGACGGTGAACGATTCTGGGCAAATCAGAATGGCTGCCACTTAGCTTTCCAGAGCCTTGAACATCAATAGTATATCCGAGAAAATCAAAGAAGTCAGATCCAGGTTGACATTTTTGAATGTTTACAGTAATGCCGTGCTTTTTCAGTTGTACTAAAACAATGTCCAGATACGGTAGACGAGTTTCTCTGTTCGGAATTGCAATCAGGCAGTCATCTAGATACACATGCAAGAAGTTTCGACATCGATAAACGTCATCGATGAATCTTTGGAAAGTTTGTGTAGCATTGCTTAAACCAAAGGGCACGCTCGAAAATCCGTAGTCTCCGAAGTGATGATAGCCGTTTTAGGTGTGTCTTCCGCAATGACAAAAATTAGGTTATATGCTTTAACCGGATCGACATTTGGGAAATCTGTTTTACTTTATTATGTTACTTTCAGGTCGTGGGTGTTCGGCGAGGGATAACGATCTGAGTGATCATCGCACCGCGGGTGTTCTGGTGCCACCATCAATCGTAGTTATCTACCTCTCATAAACTAGAGACAGATTTTTCACGTCACGGGCTTTTTAGGCATGATGAACACTGAGATAACGAGTCGGATTATAACAATGGTCTTCGGTGTCAATTTGTGTTGTCTGAGGCTTTTTTGACAGAACAAAAATCGAAGCTTGTGGCTCTAGTGATCTCCAGTACCCGTCGACAGATGAAGCAAGTTCGTCTACGGCGTTATTTTGGGATGAAGTAAGGACCACCTTGACCTGTGGGGAGAGCTTGAACTCGAGGAGCTTTCTAAGCAGCCCCTCATCAAATATCCGTTGACCAATGACCTCTGAAATTCGTAGAAGTATTCCTGTTGCCGATCCATTTTGCGACTTTACATCCTGGAAAAGTTGGTCTAACCTTTGTCGATGTTTAAGAATATCCTATTTTAAAGTGTCGTAAGTTCTCAAAACATCACTGGTGAACATGATTGATGTGACATAACTGCTGAAATAGAATGGTAGTGCCTTGACTACAACAAAGAACTTTACACGAGGGTTCGCCACTCCGCGCTCGAGAAATTTAGCTCTTGTGTATCAAAATTAGGCTTCTATATCATCGGGCCAGAATGGCATGATTTGAATGGTGAGGAGTGAAATAATCAAAACCTGGAACAATTCGGGTGTTCGTTCCGCCATAATGAAGATAAAATATGTCATTAGGTGAATGAATATATCCCAAAACACAATAACGACACTACCATATGTAAAAGTAAAAAAATGAAAATATTATATAAATTTTACAACAAGGAACGGACTAACTGTATACGGATTGAAACGCCAGATCACGTCGGGCTCACCACTAAAGATTCCAAATGTGTTCGGAGTTCGACAACTTCTCTTTACGTAAGACTTTTATAATTAGAGTATACTAACACAGTCAGATCACAAGTCAGAAATAAAGTGGTTCTAAGCTGACTAGCAGTTACAAGGAGCAGCGTGGCACGACTTACCCACTCACGATCTGGCGCGTATGTGTGATCGAGCGCCTTCAGCCAGGGTTTTCCAGTAAAGCTGATGTGGTCATCATCACTGTCGAAAACTTACTGAACTATCTATTTTGAGGATTTATTGACCGCTACATAAGTGACAACTCACAACAGCTTGTAACTGAAATACCCAGAACCCTGTCAAATATCACTTTTCTTCTATTCCACAACATAAAGTTTACGAAGACACTTTAAAAAAGTTCACAAACTCAAAACAAATTAGTTTACAGACGACTATCAACTTTCCTATTGGATCCTATAGGTCGATATGTGAATGAAGCTCCATCTTTCGATAAATTCAAAATAAATTTGGGTTAGCTGAGAGACTACCATTATCAGGACTCACACAGGCCATAAAGCATCCTGTCCTTCCAAATCAAAACTGAAACTTATACATTGTACACCAGCCCGCCATTTCGGAGTCAGGACAAAAGCTTCTTCTGGAAGAAATCCGTTTGAGTTGTATCAAGGTAAACTTATCTGCATGGTGTTATATATTCAAGTCAGAGAAGTCGTTGAGCAGATAAGATTTTCCAAGAAGTGGTTATTCATATGACTTCTAAGAGGCTGCCCGCTGACACTTGTGACAGACCGCTTTACAAAATAGTGGTTGTAGGTGATGGAGGTGTTGGAAAGTCTGCACTAACAATCCAGGTAACAAAACCAGATGTATATTATGCCATTTAGTACTTCCAGAGAATGTTCCTTGAAGAACATGATCCTACGATTGAGGACTCATACATCCAAAACGCTGAGATCGATAATGAGCTGTGTATGTTGTATGGTAAGTTCTTTGATTTTATTATCTCTCGTGTGCATGGCATGGCAGCAAGTCTCCCTTTCTTGTCTGTTGTTTGGGACAAAAACAAGAGAATAACTGGATCAGAATCATTAGCTACACCACTTGTAGCGAAGGATATTATGTACCTGTAAATTTGCTATGATACTGCAAATTTATCGACGATTTTGCGCCATTTATGTTTATACTCCATCAAGCACTACTCACTACATCTATTTTTAGCAATGAATTTGCATATATCACCGATATAGTATGTTAATTCGTGTGCATGTATCATAAGAGAAATAAGTTAGGCTAATAGCGTATATGTTGAGCTTTATAAGCTTCTGTAAATATCTTTGTATACCAAGTAGTTAGGTGTGGGTAGGAGCAATTACCATGACCATTAGCAAGTATTTATAATTGGTGCTATGGTCTTAAAAACTTGGCCACTACATGCTTTGCGAATGTGACAGCAACCCCATACTCTGCGTTGTTTGCCGACACTGAGGAATAAGTAACAGAAACGAGTGGTCGGTCTATGATAGCATCACTGTTTGGAGGATAACTGTACGGGTAGCAACTGTTGATCCGTTACGTCTTCTTGGTCGGGGTTCTGATTTCCGTGGGACTCAGTAACTTAATGCATTTCCAGAGGCTGAACAAACTGGAATCCAGTGATGATCCAACTGTGGCTCATAGTCATAAGAAAGAGAAACATGTTTTAATATGAGAAGTTTCTCATGACTGCATTTCAACTGGATTTGTTCTCCTCATGGGACATCACTTTTGTCTACTTATTAGTTGGACTTTTGACTTTTCTATTGTTCCGTGTCAAATATTCTGTTACTTATTCGTTTGGTCTTCTGTTGTGCCAAATTTACTTATGAATGAAAATGGACGATAAAAAATGATGGGGACGAAATCGATTATTGAATACATATAGTTTTATCAAAGAACTTAAATATAGAACAACACGTGTTTAGTAAGACTTATAGAATAATACAAACGTGTGTTCTCGGGCCCGACGACTGTAGTAACATATGAAGCGCTTGTAGAGGCCATTAAACTGCTGCCCAGAGGCACACTGCCCACCAACAACGTAGATCAACTCTGGACTGGATTTTTCAAGTTGGCGTGCCTGTTAATAAAAGTGACGCTAACCAAAAGTTCTTGAGGTCCTTAAGAATGACTAAGATGATTGTGCGTCGTTCGGTGGCATGGTTTGAAGTCGGTTATGGTGACGAAATTTCTTTCCTTTTTTATCTTCCCTCTTGCTTAATTCTTTCTATTTCCTAATTACGAACCATTCATGTTTACTTTCTTACCTCACCAATATTATCGTTGCCCTGACTCATGTTCTATATCTCTTAATTGCTTCATCTATGATGCAGCACGACAACCAGTAAATGCATATTTGTATCAGGTTCTGGTCGTTTATGACTGGTTGATTAAGGATAGTGTTCTGAAATATTTTCTGAACGAACTGAAGTGCTAGTTGCAATCGGGAAACGAAAAGTGGTTCCGTCCGTTTGTTTATTTACTTTTTTAAACAAGCATTGGCCCAGAATTGTACCAAATATAAATGCGTCACATTTCGATATGTGTGAGGGCTAAATACTGCATGGGTGTTCAAACCGAAGCAGGATCCCGTCCGATTAATTTCCATTGCTGATCATCCAAGTTCATAAAGACAAAAAATCTCATTGGAGTCGCTTTGATTAAAACCTTTCCCGGGATTCCAGCTACTGTTATTATTTTAGGCTCTACTGCTGTTCATAAGCAGCCAAAAACGTAATCTGTATTCTACCCATCCTTAGATCACAAAAGACGTCTATCGTTTTGGGACTATCCTCGTATTCATTTACCTGAAAATATTTAAGTCGATCAAAAGAGCTTATGACGATCTGTGTTATTAAAAAAATCATCGAGTAAGTAACTGAAACTACTAATGGCTTCTTACTTAAAAAAATATGGTCAGGTTGTAATTTATAACAGTCTGTCGTCATAAGTAACCAGGGTTTTATGTCCGATTTCCAAACTTCTATTCAACTACACCATATATATGCTACTAGAGGCGATACCTTTTTATATGACTTAAAAACAAATCCTTTCTTTCATCGACTCCGAGTAAACAACAGACGTCTTATTTAGTAAAGATCATGAAAAAATACACCTAGTATTCTGTAAACGCCGATTGTAATGCCTAAAGGCCTGTAATATGACTCTCACCCTTTAAACTGAGATCTCCCCGAAACCTGTTGGAATCAGAAAATACGGTAGTAAAAGGGAGTGAATCAATTGAGCTGATTGACCTCTTTATATAGTAATAATAATCTCCTTACCAGATGTTTCATGTTTTAGTTTGTTGGTGTCCTGAAAAATGCCTTCCCCAATACAAAATGTTCATTTGTTCACGTAATGTAGGTGTGATGTTTGTTTGTCTACCAACGCCCACGTATATTGTGCTTACATTCACTATTATGCAAAATTGAAGCGTAACACCTGAGAGTATAAGAAAATGTTGCAACCCATTTACCAAATACAGGTTCGTGTACTCGGATTCGAGTCACTTTTTGTATTAGGGTTAGTGACAATGACCGGCTACCCAAACTGAAGTTGGTGGAGCGGATCTTGAACCTGTGGCCTAACTGCTGTAATTCGAACGCCTTAACTTTTAAACCACGGCTCCACTAGAGTGATAAAAACATACAAAAGACAAATAGTAGATCACAAGTGTCTGCAAAGCACCGCTTGTATGTGATGGAACCATTAAAGTAGTACTGATGTCAGAAGCAGAGTACTATGTAGTTGTAAGTATAAGATTTATTTATAAAAACCTAATCGTAATTATACACAAAATGAAATCAGTTCATAAATTTAGAGGCTAACGATTAAACTAATGGAATGCAGATTTCATGTTTAACGTTTATTAGTTAACGACTATAATCTAGGATCGAAAAACATGGCACAAATGGCTAAACTTCACTATTACATCTTCAAATTCTCATACTGCATTAATCTGTGACATTTTTGTTTTCACCCTCTTGTTGTTCGTCTAGTTTTCCTTCTTACATCTCAATATTCTCGTTTAGTTATTTCAGCTGTTAGTTTCCTCTCATCATACTGATAGAAGTGTGGTAATGTGGGTTGATAAAAATTTTTCCAGTGTTCCACGTTATCAATATCTCTTCTACCTCCAGTTAATCTTATCTATTGTACCCTTTTTATTTTGGTTGTCGGTTAGATATCTCACGCACATTTAGGAGTGATTGATTGCATAGGATCTGATGTAAATGACACCTTTTTTGAACAACTGTAAATCAAGCGATAATCCAGATTTATTTAAGACCTCGACTTGATTTAAAAATAATGCAAATTAATAAATTAAGCCAACGTTTTTCCTGTTTGTTTCCAGTACTGGATACTGCAGGACAGGAGGAGTTTAGTGCAATGCGAGAGCAGTATATGCGCATAGGTCAAGGATTTATCATTGTATACTCAGTGACAGATCCTCAGAGTTTTGAAGAAGTTCAGAGATTTCACAAAGAAATTTCACGGTGTAAAGACTGTGGTTCTTATCCTATGATATTGGCAGCAAATAAGATTGATTTGTCTCAACAACGTCAAGTTTCGGAAGAAGAGGGTAAACGTCTAGCCACTTATCTCCAAGTAAGTTTTTTATTTTAAACTGTATCTTTATTTCAATCATTTCTAATTATACACAACTACTCAACTGCAGTATTATTTTGTATAATCTTGCACTTGATATAGCTTTCTCCATAGGAGCAACCAAGTAACTTATCGTTTATTCGGGAAACCATTATAGGTCAGCTAGAAAACGATAGCTGAATATGTCATCACTGCTTTAGCCAGTGTATCTTGTAATACATCATACCAATTAAAGGATAAGTCCTCTGGTTTTGTCAAATCTTCGTATTCAATTGCTTCCGTGGAGAAAGCTATATTGGGTGTCCAACCAAACAACTAAGTCAACGAGCAGGTGTACACCCTTTGTGGTTAGTAAAGGGCATGACCAAAACAATAGGGAGCTTCATTGTATCATAGTGACGGGCTGTTGCTCAATTTTTGATTGATTGGTTTCGCCATGTGTATGCGAAAGTTGAAATCCTGTTCAGGTTATTCGAGTAAGATACACAGGCAGCGACAATTAAAAATATGTCAATTGTGCAGCTAATCTGTTTGGCGTTATTTGCTTGGGAAAACTTTTAGCGACGACCGAATATAACACTCTTAGTATTCATCCAAGTTATATGTAAATAATTTTCACGAAATCTACTAATTTGTTACAAGTGGGAGATGTATAAAATTCACAACGTGTACACTAGCTAGCATAGAATTAGTTCCTAAAGAGTCTACAAATAACTAAATAAAGACATCTCATTAATACACATCGCTCGTGACTTAGTCTATCTAGTTTTATTTATTTAACTAATTTTCGCATCATATCAGATTTCCGTGTTAATATTAGCTTGGTCAGTCGATGATTAATGCATTGAATTAATGCGCACATTCCAATGTGAATTCAAGCATTTTCTTCATTGATTTTATGCCTCAGGAAATATCTCCAAATCTTTTTAGTAACTATAAATGAAAGAGATAAAATAAAGATTTGTCACCATCTATATCAAATGACTGTACAGATTGGAATGTCATTTTTCTAGTTTATTTCATCAATGTAAGTACAAATTGTAAGTTGTCATACTAGTAAGTTGGTTGTATGATAATTATTTTATTCCATGCTTGTAGTATTTTCATAAAATCGACACACAAAGCTAGTACTTTACAGTTTTCCTACAAACGGCTTATTCCATAATGATACCAATGATACAAATAAAAGTAAATAATTTCATTGTAAGCTTTAGTAATTTCATGAGAAATGAACAATCTTTATCTCTCCCCCTAATATATATACACTAATCGGTTTTACTGATACAATTTGAAGATTTAAAAACCATATTTTTGCGTTATGTACAAATTAGATTAAGGTTTGTAGTTTTTATTTTCTAAAATGCTTTCTTTTTCTCCCAAAATTTCTAATTAGGTTCCTTACATTGAAACAAGTGCTAAAGATCCTCCAGTTAATGTAGACAAAATGTTTCACGATATGGTACGAATTATCAGGTATGTTATATAAACAGTTCATATTACTAAGATAATGAACCAATGATGTTCTATAAATTAGTTCAGTGTCTGTGCCTCATCTTTTGTTCAACGGTACTTCAATCACTATTTAGGTCTGGAATATTATAAACATTAATATCTGCCGTCCAACGCATACAAATAAACTAACGTATTAGACTAGATTATTAAAATTAATATCATTCAATAGTACCTGATTGAAAAAGCAAACCAATGTTGTACAACTGCACCCCCCAACACTTATATGGTTAAAGCTGGTTAAGCACGGCACTCTTTACAATTATTTAACTTGAATAATTTGTTTGGTCTTTTTTGATGGACTATTTTTTTATAAGTTAAGATTTTTGCTGGCAATTTGTTTCTATCAACAAAATCACAGTCTCATCTACTCCACACCATTCTATTGCTATGATTGAAGAGATTACGAAATAATCTAAAATCGGCGAACGAAACGAAGAATCAGCGACACAACTCAAATGTATGTATACAGTATAAAAATATCACAAAATAGCATATTAAAAGAGGGGAAGAACCAATAACATTTATGGTCTTTTCAAATGGGAAATACAATCTGAAGATAAAAATGGGCGCTTTTGTCGCAAAAATGAGAAATTCCAATTTTAAAAATTAAATTACAAAAATAAGATGTTTACTAAGTGATTTCTGGTGATCTCGCATCCCAAACACCTATCTTAACAGCGTATGTTATTGGACTCCATCTGCATCTTGACCGTTGGTCACCGAAGTGACCACTGTGGAAAGGAGATCAATTTGTTGTACTTTTTTCTTGCGTAGGGACTTCAGGAAGGTTGAAGGTATCTAATAGATTTTCGAGTGGGATATTTCCTTCTGTTGATGGGCGATCTGGGGCTAACCGTTTCCGTAGTTGGTTTCGGTGTCGAGTTCACGTGTCTATTCCTACCTCTACTTCGTATATGATTTGGCCTAACGTTATGACCACACGTGCTTCAGTTCAAGGACCATGGCCTGCTTTGCATTCCCAAGCAAACACCGAACATCTAACCTCGTACGTTGGCAGTTTCTGGAACTTAGTCTGTGGTGGTATGGTTTTCGGAAGCATCAGCTTGTGGATCGTCCTCAATCTTCTTATGGAGATCTCTGCTGCTGACTTTTGTTATGGTGGCATATCATTCATTGTCGTTCAATAAACGACTAAGAAGCTTTTTAGTGTTTCGTCTGACATCACTTCCCCTTCTGACTGCAGTAGATCCCTCTTAAGCGTATCCACAAACCCTTCTGCCTGACCATTCGACTGTGGGTGGCAAGGGACGAGCGAAAATGTTTGGTAGCTAACCGTCGGCAGGATTCTTGGAACCGAATGGAGGTGAACTGTGCGCCGTTATTTGACATGATTACATTAGGTAGTCCATTGCGGAAGAAAATCCGTCAAGAGCTGTATCGTTTTGGTCGTTGGTGGCATAATGGGGAGGATTTCTGACCATTTTGGAAACGCAACTATATAAGTAGTTGCGTTGATTGGACCAACGAAGTTAACATGTACCCTGGATCAGGGATACCCGGGCCGTGGCCTTGAAACTGGCAGTATTTTTGTGTTAAACTTCGCCGCTTGCTGACACTGCGTGCATTCGCCTACCAACTCCATGATGTGCCGACCAATAAGAGGCCAACATACATAACTTTTAGCTACGGGTTTCATTCTTTCTACACCAAGATGACGAGTACGAAACTGCTTCAGCACCTTTGACCGTAGGGTTTCTAGCACCACCTCCCTCCAAACATCAAGCATTCATTCACGACGGTAGATATTCATTAAATGTAGTCTAGGTATTTCACATAACTAAATTATAATACACATCAAATTAGAGTAAACAATAGAATTCAAATAAGATTTATGACTTAAATCTATCGACTAATCGATATTTCTTTACCGAAAACTCAAAGTATTTAATTAGTCATATATAATTTAACTTCGAATTCAACTCAAACAAACTGGACTTTTATAGGATATTTTTCTAATAAATCAGTGCAGTTTAACGAAATAGTATAAATTATTTCTACTTTATCTTATTTATTGAAGGACACCTTTGAAGTTTTTGTCTGGTTTTGTCGATTTCTATGGCTTTTTAGCCTAATAATAGATTTGTTGATGAAAAATCCCCATTATATTAAAAACACAATTGTATGAACGAAGAATATTCTTTTCAATAATTTCTCATCAGGTTCTACAATTATAAATCCAAATTAATAATCCATAAAATTGGCCAGATTTAAGGCAAAATACATCATCATTTGGAAATTGTAATATGTAAATCAGGAATTGTTTGTTATATAATTAAAATTGTTAATGTTGGGGCTGACTATTATGAAGTGTTAACTTGAATCAGTTTATAAGTGAAATGAAAATGTGAGATAAACTATCAGAATAAATATAGTCAACATGGGGTAAGAGAGAGAGAATATCGTGATTACAAATCGGAAATTACGTAATATGTAAAATAATTAGGTCAAATATAGTAGATTCAGGGGTGGATATTGAATAAATTCTTCAAAAAGGGGTTATCAAGTGTAAAGACAATAATAATAATAAGTTTGGGACATAAAATGAACATTAATCAGATTACGTCACCACATTATAAGATTGATTATTAGCTAGTTGGCCAGGGTAAAAGGAGTGGCTGAGCATACTTCTTTTGGATACAAAGCTCTGGCTTTTTGATCCGAATAGCAATTGCTTCAGCCGTCTGTAGGATTCGCAGTCTGACGGAATTAGGTAGACTGCTGTTGACACGATAAACTATTGCAAAAGATTGTTCCATGTTGGCTGTATGTCCTGTTTGGACATTGTACTGTCGATATATGGATGATACATTTATCCTTTGTAACGAGCATACGGAATTGATAAGAACACTCGAGCAATTCAATACAGCTCACCCGTCCATAAAATTCACATGTGAGAAAGAAAATGGGGGTAAAATAGCCTTCCTAGATGTTCTGCTTACAAGGAGAAAAGCTGGATCGCTAAAAAGAAACATAAACAGGAAACTGACCTGGACGGGTCAATATACTAACTTTTTCAGTTTCCTTCCTCTACAACAAAAAAGGAACCTTATTAAGATACTACATCATAGAATCAAGACTATATGCACTATGGATACGATTGAAGATGAAACAAAGACATTGTTTACAACCCTAAAAGAAAATGGATATCCAGAGAAATTTATGGAAATTTTATGGATTATTAATCTGGATTTATAATTGTAGAACCTGATGAGAAATTATTGAAAAAAATATTCTTCGTTCATACAATTGTGTTTTTAATAGATTTGTGTTTCGAAATACTTGAAAATTAAGTTAACCTTTCTGGTTCCAGTCAGCTACAATCAACGTTGAACCTGGTACAAATAATACATCAGGTTAATCGGTCATACCATAACAGTTACGGAGAGATGAAAATAATAAGAGGAATATTGAAAGAGTCTTTTCTAGTGATATCAATGATAATCATGAGGAAGACTAAATAATGTATTTTGATTATGATTATTGGTCATTGAAGCAAAAACATTTCATTATATAAGCTCTATTTCAATGTTTAGTAAGAGTGTAGGTCATATATTAAGTATAGATTTGTGTACTGGACTTTAAATTTTCCTATCTGTGTAGGAAACTTAATGCTACTACTTACCGGTTTTCCAACGCGAAATGATCAAGGTGAATTTTAAGTTGATTGATGACGCAGAGCCGAAGACTTTAAGTAACAAATCCACTGTTTTGTTTCAATTGTTTAGCTTAATAAATGACTGTGACTAGATAAACTAATGAAGATAAACTATTTGATTAATAAAATTAATTATTTTGATTTCATGTTTTTTTCCAGAAAACTGCCTCCACCACAATTAATCTCGAAAGGTGATCGTAAAAAAGTTCGTTGTTTGTTATTATGACATGTTGGTTGGTGTGGAGGTTAATTAAACTTTTCTCATACACTTAAACAAAGCGTAATCATCTTCAGTGCCTAGGTGCTTCTTCAATATTTGATATCATTGACCTGTATACATCCTGCGTACCCCCACCCTGCCTTCTCATATCCTGTTTTCTTCCTAACCGATTCACAATGTGCTTCTAGATGTCTAAACAGATATGTAAAATGAAAATGTTAATGATGGTATTCCAGTGAATTTGGCTAAAATATCATATCAGTTAAACCTGTGATTTGGTATTTACTTCCTCCTACTCTTCATTACCTTCAATCTCCAGGTTTTTTCAAGCATCTACTATTAATATTTTTGTTATATGCTTTGGAACGATTGCATTAATGCGGTGTTAAACAGTAACCATAATAATAATAACAACCCGAATTGCGCCGATTCCACCTAGTTAACCACTTATTTTCCCCCATCATATTAAACATGCATACACAAACACTGACATTTTGTACAGGATTTGCTTCGATCTTTTATTTCTCTGTAAAACAAGATTTTTTTCCTAACTGTTATCGGTTATTATACTTGTACCTTCCAGTTTCCACTATTGTATCAAGTCTTGCATATGATCACACTAAAGAAAAGTGGCGTTTTCGAATAATGTTGAACTTCAATGCTTCAGTGGTTCTTATGTGGTATCTTGTTCCTTAGTAATATGTATTTGGCTGTTCGTATAGTTTTTATACTTACCTGATCATTTTTTGTACTTATTTAATATCAATGATGTAATAGTTCTGCATTGTAACTGACTTAAGATGTGATACTAAAATCAACAGTGGTAATAATAACGGTAAGACTTGTATGCTTGTTTTTTTTCTGTCAGAATCATTTATCTAGGCTAATACAACCACTTTTTGTAAATTCTTTGTTTTCTCTACAATTCCTGTTTGCAACATACACATCTATGACTGATTAAGCTTTTGTTTTATCCTTTGCAAGATGGTCGTGTATATTTCCACTCTGAAAACGTCGATCAGCTTGCTGTCAAACATTTGTGGCTTGATACTCATCCAGTTCTCAGCGTATTTACATCGTAAATATCAGTTCTTCCTTCTTCTTTATGTACCTTTCCGTCTCTATATTTGTGTATCCCCTTTTGTCTTTCCTATCTATTAATCCGTCTCGTAGGTGTTGTACATTCTACCTATTGATTACGTTAATAATGTTTTTCTACAATGTTATTGTTACTGATATGGTAATTGTATTGCTTATTATCATCTACTGGGACGCTCTTCGGTCGTTTAACCGCTTATTTTAACTTCAGGGTGTTCAGTATACTTGTCCATTTGGCTAAACTTCCCAATGCTGTCCATTGTCCATTTGGAAGAGGGCTACATATCAATGACTTTGTGAACAACTGATTGCACTAGTTTCCAAAGTAAATGGATAAGTGTTTAGTTGTATATTCTGATTAATTGATTGCTTATTATTCTGCCTCAAATTCTTTCTTATTAAATCACATTAAGAAAACTTGAGTGTCTATATAAAATTACAATAACCCGAAATGTAATCGTGTCTCATAGAAGTCCATTTGTTTTCCTGAAAAAAACCTAAAATCGTGTTTATTTCAAAGATATGTTTATATACAGCTAGAGTATTTACGTTTTCATCACAATTGATGTTGAAGACATTACGATGGACGAGTTATTATTATTGGAAATTTCAGGAAACGTTTGAACTCAGTGTTAATTCTTACTGAGATATCCTAAGCTTGTCTCTCATTGTGTAATACACCATAGAAATAGGAATCTCAGAAATGGTAGGAAAACATGTAGTCAAAGGAGCGTTTAGGAACTAGGGCAGCAGATAGGGCGAATACATTTACCATTTTACCTTCTTCAACCTAGCGAATCAATCCTACCGACTGTTTGGAAAACAATACCTAGAGCTTTTTTGTTGTTGGGATATTCAGGAAAATATCCCAAAAATTATCCTGTTAAGCCTAATGCTATCCTTGGACATGAAATAGTATCATCTTATTGGTCAATATTTAGTTAGCGTGTTATTTTCCTACTGGTCATTATTGTACAATGTTATTTTCTATTTTATGGTACGTTGTGGACTGTTTGACTGGTATATAAACAAGTATGTTTGAAATATAATGATTCATATATCCGAGGCTGTGGCTTGCGTTCTGGACTTAACTGGCTGGGCTATACAGGGAAGCGAGACCAATCAGAACCCTAGGTCGTTCTACGTGTTTGCGCGTCTTTGGTCCGATCAATAATTCGCATCCCTTAATCAGCAATTATTTTTCACGTTATAACATTTGTGAAGCTACAAAAATTGGCTAAAAATTAAACTTCTTAAGTTGGTTGAGTATATGTATTTTCTAGTCGGTGAAATTGTTTCTTGTTCTATTTTCCTTTTAAAAAGATTTTTTGTGCTATTCTAAGTTATATGCACTTGTCCATATATATGATTAAAAAAACATGGGTCCGTAGGCTTTGTCAGTGGTTAAATCCTACCTAGTATGTATTTGTAGGAAACTTCAGTTTTATCCTTTACAATCCTAAAATTACTAATGATTTTTCAAAGCTTGTAAAATATGATCGGGGTAAATCTCAAACTTTTATACGATTGTGCCGCTTAAAATGCAAAATTAAAGTAACTGGCAGGTTTACTTAGCATTATACTTAGTACCTCAAGTAAACTAGTAGTTGTTGTTTGATTTTCGATATATAGTAGTAAGGTATTACAGTTATATTTTGCATTTTGTCGTTCAAGGTACAGCCGACTCGCAGTATATATTTAAGCGGACAGTCACTTTTTTGTGTCCTAACTCGTAGGTGAAACATCAAGCTTTCTTTCCAGACAACATGCTGAAGGACGATTGTTGGAGAAGCGTGGATATGTATTTTTTCCACTAGACTTAAATATTTCAAACAAGTCCTTTCTATTTTGGTGTAAGGGATTGTAGAGACTGTTGAGCATGGTACTTTACATCAAGAACAAACTGCACTCGAACAACAATCAATGAACACTAGGTGACTGTCTCGTCCCAGCATGGGGCTCAGCAGCGTGTATCCATGAATTCGCCGCGGTCAGACCAAAAATCTTCAGTGAGTGCTTAGCCACTAAGCCGTTATGGAATGGTATACACTTCCAACTTCAATTAATTTGCAGCATTGTCTCCCAACTACTTCATTCGACACGTCTCAGCTTCACTGGTCACTAGAACTCCATGAATTACCCTTCGAAATTGGCCACTAGTAAGAACATAATTTTTACTAATATTAATGTAAGCGGTTTGTAGGGTTTGCTGGTTTTTGAATTTACAACAAAAATAGATTAATTAGACAACTATTGAAAATCCGGAGGCATGTTACTGCATATTTCGCGGATTTCGAAGTTAGCACCCGATCTCCTGAGTATCATACAAATTTCTGTACAATGACACAGGGCTGTTAACAGATAAGTACCTAGCCTACAATATAGAATATAATATTATTTGGTAAAATATTTGTTTATTCGTTATTTTATGAACCTTCGAACTTAGTGTTTTTACACCGTCGTACATTTATTTTCATTGTTGTGAGGTTGTCTATCCACTTTTTGGTGAGTCTAATACCATCTTTAATGTGAGACTGCAAACATATACTTGTAATCATACTGAAAATCAAGGAATATCAAAAGAATTAGTTGGTGTCTTAAAATTATCTGTCGAGTAATTCTTGACGCACCACATGTAGTCTTTGCTACCCAGGCTCAGATATGTCGTGTGCATTCAAAACATGATTTTATGAATTTGGGTGGCAGAGGGTCGATACAAAAATTGTGGCTTAACGTTCAGAAAAAGCTACATTAATTACTGAATTGAATATTAACACGTTTACCGAATAGAAAATAAATCAATAAGTTATAGTAAGATCATTGTTGACTAAAGAAACACTTTACCTAATTTTCTTACTCATTATTTCAAAAGGATACAGTCGGATATCTCGCAATACCTCGGTAACTTGTAATTTCCGTTATCCCACTTTTGTTCTCATCTTTGAGCTTTACCCATTTTACTACTGAAATTAATTCTCATTTTCTAGAATTCCCACACTAACATATTTGTTTAATTCGACATTTTATAGTCTTCCTATATTTATTGTTATCTGGCTAATCTTCGTTATTCTGACATAAAATACGTACGTGAATTATTATTTCTAGGCTATAAGCAGCTGAAAAGAAATCACGAAATAAATGAATTCATCATATTCTACTACGTTTGTCGTTCTTGCTCTAGACAAACACAATTTCCATCATCCCTTAATTGATAGACGGATATCTCACCCTTGCCATAGGTGATGTAAGTTGGCAAAAGCCAAACGAGCTTTTTGAATCCGTGTAGGGATTTCGTCAGACACTAACCCATTACGGCTGATCAGACTTCAAAGATAAGCGAGGTTGTCGACGCGTTTGACTACCTCACTCCCACAGGATTAATTGTCTAAACTCAAAATTTACATTCACGATGGTTAAATCATTAAAATCTCCAGGTCATATAGCACATTCATAATAGCACCAAGTGTTTGAGCATTGAAACTCGGTATAAATGAAGAATAAAAACCACAAATCGACGGCATTTAAGTGCTCCACAAAAGTCACGAAATATTTCATAAAATATATTTAAGTAAGAGTTGAGTACAAGGAGAAATTTTCATTTGTATATTCCATAAATTAAGTTGTAGATCTTATTTCGAAAACAATGAATATAATATGCAGGGCACAGAAAGTCGATGGTACGGTTGACTTGAAATGAAAATATCAATTGCCCACAAATCACATATACAATGTATTTAGATTATTTGAATGTACTTAATTAATCGTAATCAACACAGAATCTGGCAATGTGAATGAGCTTGTTGCCATATAAGTTAGCATAACGGGATTTGAATGCCTTAAATCTCAGAGTTGCTGCGACGCAGCTAAGGCTTGATGGAGTGAACATTCGAGTCCCACTAGTTCAATGACACAGTTGAATTCCGCTACATTTGTTTGCATAAATAGGTTTTGTCTTTATCCATTCGTGGTTATTTCGGCGATATACTTGTGCTTTTCATAAATCGTAGACTTACGGGACAGCGTGTTCAACTGTGACTTGGCAAAAATTGCTTTGGACACACTCCGTAGGATCCTCCCATATTATCTTAATACCTTGTCCAATACATGAGTATGGCTACCAGCCGGTCAAATAACAATAGCCCATGGATTTGCTTTCAGAAACCTGAGGAAAATTATCTTAAAATTTTACAAGTTAATGAGATTCTAAACAAAAATATCTATCAGTAGATATATAAGAAATTCTGTCTAAATTTGGTCGAATAGTTTCACAGTATTTGGGCGCCGAATTGGTGTGAGACATTAAACATATCAGGAGTAAAACAGATATCATACATGTTACCCAAAATCGTTTCTCAACATAAAGAATTGACTGGTGCTTAAAATCAGACTAGTAGAATTCAACTCTCGAAATATGTGGTACGCTAAGACAAAAAAAGAACAAAACCACATATGCAACTCATTGTGACTTTTGTTCGATATTATTTTAGTTTTTAATTCAACATGATAATTAATCAGCATTGTATTTGTTTTAGTTTCAGTGCGATATTTATTTGTAGAGATACTAATCAATTTATGTACACTAGTGACTGGCTTCAAGATGTATATCCTAAAGTTCTAGTGAGAAGCAGTGACCAGTGGATTTCAACCAGGTCTGTTTTGAGATAGTAACTCACTGATGACAATGATGGATGTATCACTCAATTTCGTGAATTATTTGAAGTTAGACATTAACACCGTTGGATGGCGGCCGAGTGGTCTAGTGGTTAAGCGCACGCGCGCGAGACTTATAGGCCTTGGGTTCGAACCTCGCGGGGGGCGGGACCGTAGACGAGCACTGCTGAGGAGTCCCACAATAGGACGAAACGGCCGTCCATTGCTTCCAGGTTTTCTAGCTTCAACTGAATCATGATCTTAACTATTGAAATTACTATAATATCCACAATACCCCTTCTGATATTAATCAATGGGTGTTAGTAAAATCAACATGTGTTTTTGTCTAAGAACATTTAGACAATTAATAAATCTTTATGTTTGCACTACTCATCGTGTGGAATAACAAGATCCTCGTTTTCAATGCATAAGGAAAGATATTACAAGAAAGCTTAAAACAATATTTAAATGTTCATGATTTAATCGTGTTGAGATACCGTGTGTACCGATTAAACGTCGTAAATTAAGAAAAAAATAGCTATAACCAATTTCATAAAATATGTAATTCAATTGATTCATACAAAGAGAAAGCATAACATATTTATGTTTCTTACCTATATATCAGTCAATCAGTAACAACGCAGAACTTCGTAAGTACGTACATCGGTTCGAGTTGCCCTACCACACTAGCAAACAGATACAATTGTCGATTCAAACCCCATAATGGTAGATGTAATAAGAGTATAAGGAGTCATCGGAAAGATTAGGGTTTGAAGAGGTTATTCAAGGCGTATAATCCAGTGAAATAAATTTGGAAAGTGAAAAAAGAGGACATAAATAATTCAGAAGATTAGAGTTTGAGAGGACAAAAAGAATGGATACATCTCCGCCATTTCAAACGATTTTGAGCCATGTCATTCAAAGTCTCTAACCATCGGTTGCTATAATCTAACGGATCCCAACCAGGTAGACTACACTTACCAACATGGCTCACTCCACTTGTTAGTGACTTTATGGATTTGTGCTCTGTTTTGGTCGGACCACCCGTAGCTTACTATATACAAATATGTGTATCACTTAATGAATTATATCACTTTTCAAAATGATAAACGATTATTTTTACTTTAATGATCATTTAAAATCTAAATTGAATGTATTCAATTTGTAATGATGCAAAATCTGTAGAAATTATTATCGGTTAAATGTTTTAGTTGTTCAATTAAAAAAAGTAACAATACTTTAATATAGGAAGAGAGAATAAAACACTAACAATTAAATTTCAGATATTTGTTTCAACTTAATAAATTTAAATCTAAGAAATATTTTCGGCAACACTATAATTTATGAATGAACTAATCAGGTTTAAGATAATAGATCTTAGATTGTAGTGCAAAATTCATTCAACTATTTGGTTAAATAGAGTTTTTGGTATTTTACCTAATATTAGCAACGTGATGAAAACCTTAAATTTAATTGTTGATTCTAATCATTTACTATAAATCATAATCTTTATTCTTTACACAGGTTTATAACTCTTATTTAGTTCGAGTAAGCTTGTAATGTCCGTTACTATGTTTGGCCCTCATACCTTATTCTAGCCTCTGGACAGATCAATTTATCCAATCTTCTTAAGTCATGTTTTAATCTTGTTAATTATTCACTTATCAACCCTGACTGTTTTTAGATGAGTGTATGTGTATGCACTTCTTATCCTACCCATCATATATCTGTAGGTTATTTTTGTGTGACTATAAATATAGATTAACGCTTGGTTAAATGGAGTTGACTCATACGCCTTTTCCACTGCGCCTCGTTTCGCTTAACTCTCTTCTTTTTGATTATCTAATCTTTTGTCTGGATAAAAGATTGTACGAAATACACGTATTCGAAATTTATTTTCGTATTTGACTTAATTCCACTATTCACTAACATGGACTAAGTCAATAATTATATATGAGAATATTTGGAATATATTTTTCGATAGCAATCATTCAATAACGATCATTTGTCCAATCTAACTACAGTCAGAATTAGGGCTACAAAAATGGTGATCTCATCGATAACATCATCCGATCTAATTGACATCAAAATGAAGGACCCCATAAGTTGATAGACATATTCTAAGTCACTTACGGGTCGTTCATAACTTTTCTCAATTGTAAATTTAATAATAATGAAGAAAAGTAAGAAATGAAATTCATTCCGGAAAAAAAGAACACAAAATAAACCGAAATATATTACTTATTCAATTTAATCTCATTAATTGTGATTTAAAATTTACATTAATACAAATATTTCTAGAATTATTTACTAAATTATAAGCATTATCATATGAATAATTATAAAATTTCATTAAATAAGCAATTATAATAGATGGTGAACGTGAAATACCAGCTTCACAATGTATAAAACAACAACCCTTAGTTTGTTTTACAATATTTAAAAAATTAAAACAATCATTCAAAATATCATTTAATTGAAATGTTAAATTATCATAAACAATAAGTGATAAATAATGAAAACATTCAGGAAAATAATTTGGTATTATATTTGAAATAAGATTAATGATATGTGTAACATTATTATTGTTTAATAAATTTAAATTTTGAGCTACATCAACAGAACCTACAATAAGAAAACATGTAAACATATAAATAATCAATTAGCAAAAATGTAGAAATTCATACATACATACGTACATTGCCCCCAAATATCCTGGTACGGCTGAGAATGGGAAGAGTTAGCTTTCCTTCACGAAATGCTTTCACATAGCCACACATATATAGCCACAGCCAGGGAAGTCCTACACACTGCCTTCTCGTGGCGGTGTTGTTTACGAAACTGAGAGGACGAAAGGTGAATGTCCGCCGCTCTAACATGGTCGGTGGACATGGAGAGTTCACCTAGGGAAGTTGGAAAACTTTGATTCCAAACCAATGGTGCACATGGGCTCTAGTATCCTACGGGAACAAATGGTGTATGAACCAATCGTTGGTCACCGGCTTCCATGGGACTTTATTTCCTTACGATGCTCCACTGCCTTGTGGATCAGACCTTCAGGTCGAAGGCTCCGGGTGTGTCTCCCTAAACAACCACCTACTTCAGTTTGGGCACCTGGATAGTATCACAGCTTTCACACAAATCAAATGAGATTTGTGTGGCGCATATGTATCTGGTGCTCCCTTGTACCAATACCTATGTGTTCAAATAATAATAATAATAAACGTACATCAATTCGAGTTGCCATACCATATTAGCATGGAGATAAAATTCTCAATTAAATATCCCATAATGGTAAATATAGTAAAAAGTATAAATAGTAATTGGAAAGATAATGGTTATTAATAATTTCATATGTATTCAATCAAATTAACTTACCAAATAATATTGTAAATTCTGGAAGTTCTATTTTTCCTATTTGTAAATCCAGATTAAAATTTGGAATAAAACCATAAGAAGAAAAATTAGATTCTAATTGATTAGATTTATCATTTTTTTCAATTTCTGATCCATATTTATTCATTTTAATAATTGATCCATCTAATTGTCGAACTTCTATAAGTGTTGGTTTTAAAGAATTCATATTGAAACATTGAATAGCATCTTTTATATTATTCATAAGTTGTTTTATTGAATTAAACCTGAAATATTGAATTGAATAATTTTGGCAAATAATTTAATTTAAGTGTAAATTATTATATAACATGATTTGAGAATATTTAATTCTACAAACATTTAATAAATTCATCATATTTAAACTACTTTTCTTTTTTGAACAAATTTAAATTTAATAAATTTTTTCTGTCAGGTATACTGAAATTTCGTTCTTATTGTTACCCTTAACATTATTGTTGTTTGATTAGTTTATTCATGTTTTAGTTAGCCTATCTCTAAGGATATTGTAAATGGATTTATATAGAATGGTTATGTCTTTGTTTTATCTTATCTTTTAGTCAAGGTACTTCAGCCTAAATGAGTCTAGAAGTGGATAAATGTTGTTATTTCCAACAACCATGGCATCCAGTATTTCAGAAGACGAGATTTCTAATTCAGATATAGCAATTTACATAAATTTATGGTCAATACTAATATTAAAAATATCAAGGATTGATAATAACTTTTCCAACTACGGGGCAAAAAACTAATGTTAGTTGTCAACATTAATATGAAGCTTTTAGTAATCCAATCTGAATACATTTCCACAGGATAACCGTACGCTAACAGCATAATGATAACCCACTCTTATCATTTAAATCAAGTCAGAATGGTGAATAAGTGATTACACGAGTCACAGTTCAACTACTATCGAGAAAGTTCAAATACTATTACACTTGATCTAGGAAAACATTTATAACTGCCAGACGTTACAAAGTGTAGCTCGAACCTGAGAATATCAACCCAAGCTACCCACGTTGCTATAATACAAAACCATTAATGAGCATTTTGTAGAAAATTCAGGATATCTGTGTAATTTTATACAATAACTAATTCAGACAAACTATCACTGAAGTTGTTAAAAAGTTTGATAGTTATATATGAGTGGTGTTACGTTCAGACCACCGTTTATTGTGCACAGTCCATAGAAAATTGGTGACCAAGTAATTAAGGATATAACTTTATGTTTACTCTTATATTTGTCCTTGCAATCACATCTAGAATAAATTACATATTCTGTACACTATAGATTCGCAGTAACTTCGTGAATACAATTGGTCAGGGTAAAGAGCTATCATTTGGTATCTCTAACCTCATCAGTAGTAAAAATTTAGATATAAATGGCAAGAAAAACTGGCCATTAAGAACATCAAAACCCAATAGTTTAGTTGCATTGAAATACTCACAAACCTTTTGTAGGAGAAACTAGGCACAGTAAACTTTGTGTTTACGGAAGCATAGAAAATGTGGTGAGGTATATACGAGTCGAATCCAGTATCGTTGATTATCTTGATTTTAGTTACATCGAGAACTAATTCCCTCCGATAGATAATCAAATATTTGTTTATTAATTTGTATATGATCTCTTTTTAACAACATCTGCAACCAACCATAATACTTTTGAAACATATGTCGCATACGAATAACTAGTAATTCATATCGAAACTGTAACTTTGTAAGGTTAATAACCGTGACAAAATCTTAGGTGTTATAGTTAGGTTATCAAATTATGTTTGGATTTAGCAGGGTAACTAAATATTTTTACGCACTAGACATAATTAAAGTGATTTATTTAGAAGAACGACTCATCAATAGATTTTACGAAAATATTTGCCAATAATACCTACATACTAGAGACAGCTAAACGTAAGTAGTGTAACGGTTACAAATTTGGCAGTGAGTCGATGTCGAACTTGAGATGTATACTTTTCCCTAACGTGTCTACGGATCTACCTTCTGCCGAAACATTTCCTAAAAAATAGTGCATACTGTCCCCAAAATTCATACCCCATAATGCGGAAAAAGACTTTTCTCTTAAATTAACACATGATTCCCCTCTATTCACCTACAGTTTCCCACTTTTTTGTCACTTGGGGGTTAAATTTATGGTAGGAAAGGCATACTGAGACCTCTTATTCACGATCTAGCCAAGCTTTAACTTAAACTTACTTCGTAACCTCTTCAAACTTCCGTAAAATCTAGATCAATGGCAGACCATTGGGTTTGACACAGTTGGCTGACACTCATCTCTTATTAGTCTCTTGATGTACAACATATGTCTAAAGGATATGTTGACATTATATAGACTGCACTAAAGGAATAATCGAAAAATTTTATAACGAACGAAGCCCAACTACATGGGGCTCAAGTTAAGTCACCTGTAACATTTAGCCTCTGGAGGGTTTTCGTCTGACTTGAAGGTACTTTATCTGCTGAAGGAGTAGAAGTCAGTCAGTCAACTACAATGTACGACCAGACATACATATACATCGGTTCAATTTGCCAAACATGATTAGCACAACAACTATAGTAGTTAATTCAATGGAGGTTATATATAAACAAAAAATTGTGTACAGGAATAAAGAATAAGTTCGTAGCAAGATACACAGCAATTTCGATCTCATAGTTTAAGGAAACACAGAGAATATATATATATATATATATATATATATATATATATATATACAATAGCGATCGATTCTGGGCAATGTCATCCAGTCTCCAACCATTGGTTACGATAGTCACACGGACCTCAACCAAGTATTCTGGATTAACACTGGCATTTCTTACTGCACATGAACTTACGTGTTACAAAGCAGTCTGCTCCACAAAAGTTACAAAACAACTAATAATAAGGAATTACATTCTTCGAATTCTAAAGCCTAAAAGATATTACTGAGTGGGTTGCAAACAAACTAGTCACCACAGCAGATAAACGGAGTTCAAGCAAGCAAGGAATCTATAAACTGAAACACTAAAAGATAGCCTCATTATCAAACAAAACTAATCGAATGATTTGTCCCTAATCCAAAAAGCTTAGTCTGTCATGCAGACTATCTTCGGCAAGACAAAGTCGGGGTTCCCCAGCTGTTAGACCCTAATGACTCAACCAACAACGATAGTGGTGCTACAGAAGTCCTGGTGATACAGTATTAAAGGCACGGGAAAACGTCAGAGCCTTTCGAAGCTGCCCGCCCTTTCGTTTTAACGACCTTGAACGTCCTGACAAGAGGCGGTCATTCCGTATTTCGAGTGCCGTGTGTTTGTTGGGTTGCATGGGTATCAAGTGTTTTCATATTTTTTCACATTTTTTTCATATTTTTCATATTGCTGCGTTAAAAAGCACAAGATAACCGCCAAAAGCATTAATTTAGCGTTCTCTGTTTTGTAGTGTACACTTTGGCTCTATTGTTGCTTCGTAACTTGATCTGTGATCCCAACTGCTGTAGTAAACCTCAACGAAATGTCAAGTCACCGGTAAGTCTTAGATATTTGTAGTACGTCCTTGGGTTATTACTGTTTCAAGGAATAACTTTTTTAGTAATATTGATTTCTGTTTTAAGTGCTTCATGCTCAAGTGACATTTCAGTCGACCTTAGCGATGCTTTTCAAAGTATGATACTGAAGCGCAATTTAAAAAGGACAGTGGTATTTTTCCACGTTGAGTAACTTTCATTTTTTGATCGTTTTTACGTATTAAGTCTTTCGCCTTCAATTTAAATGAATTCATTTCTGTTAAAATATTCGACTAGTGTACTGTTTTTACCGTTTTCTCAATTAGTTTTTCATTGGTACTTTTTGGTACCTCATTTTCAGTTGTATCTGTTAGTACTTTTGATCCTAAGAATCTACAGTTCTTCACTTTTTGTTCTTTGTTTATTTTTTTGTTTCTGAGCATCATCGCGTCTCGTTCCTTTTTGAAAAGGACTCCTTTTAAATGACCGGACAGTGTAAAAAAAGCAGTTGCCAAAGCCCGGGTTGTCGTTATCCCGTTGAAAGCGTCATGCAGTGCGACGAGTGCAAAGACTGGTACCACGAAGTTTGCACGAACTTAACGCCTGCGGCTCTCAAACGATTCAGTAAGAAGGGTTGCGTATGGCTTTGTCAACAGTGCTGTTCGGATGCAAACAGCCTGTTAACCGAAGCCATCTCACTGGTTGATGCTGCAAATAAGTGGTTTAGCAAGCGTAGTGGGAACACGTCAAACAGCACTCGATCTGTCGACATGCAAATCGACATGAAGCAAACTAAGGTTAGTTCGATAACAGATGACTCACGCCGGTCAAAGAAGGAAAAGCAGTCTCCAAAGGGACGTGTCTCAAACAAAAGCTCAAGGAAAGTAGGTTCTTCTGTTCCCCGTCTCCCAGACGGGGTCCAACAGGAAACACATAGAAGCCGCAATCATAAGGCTCGATCGGTTTCAAGCTGTAAATATAGCCTGACCTTCAGGTCGTCGGTAACCCTCCAGAATCCAACACTAGGTTTGACGCAACTGTTGTTGCTTCTCCCAGCACCGTTGACGAATGGGTACATGTTGTAAGGAAGAAAATAAGCAGCGATATAAAAGGTAATCCTACTCCCGCGAAAATGGAAAGCTGATCATAGCGACAGATCAGCTATTTTTCATAGAATAAAGAAGAGCGAGAGCTCTGAACCTAAAGCTCGTTTTGAGCATGACATTGTGCTGATTAAGCAGCTGCTTAACCAGCTCATGCCTCAAAATATCACCAGGGTCACCTTGCTACATGTGTACAGACTAGAGAATCTAGCGGACTTGAAACCAAATCATTCCAGACTGCTTAATGTAGTATTCAACTTTTCGAACGAACGTGACCTAATTTTACAGAGTTGAGACAAGTTAAAGGGTTCAGGAGTCTTTATTCGAAAGTACTTACCTTTGGCAGACCGTGTAGAAAGACGGGAAGCCGAAAAAGAACTACAACTTAGGTTAGACGCTGGCATAAAGGACCCAAAAATTGTAAATTTTCGGGTTGTAAGGCTTCAACAGAGAATGATGCCGAAGCCACTCTGGCTGAAACACAAAGCCACTTAAATAGGCTTCAGATCTGTTAAACTAATGCCCGAAGCTTATTCAATAAGCAATCCGAACTAGGTGTACAGATTGACTCTACAAAGCCAGACATAATCACAGTAACAGAAACCTGGCTGACAGAGGCTATAGAT